TTTCTATGTTGATACGGACACATATTCGTGCATATTCCTTCTTATTCCATTTGAGGTAATTACCATCCAAATACATTGGTGTACCAATTCTTGAAGAAATCTTAGCAATATTGACTTCAACCCAGCAATGTAATGGCAATAAAGAAAACGAATCCAAACAGGTGCATATAACCTCTTAAGAGAAAGAGGTGAAAAGAATGGTGACCATTTGTCTAAACCAACTATATGACCTCCAATATACCACGGGGCACCGCTAAGAACTTCATCCATAGCTTCGGGGGACTTGAACGAACAAAGAATCTAATTCGATCCCAAGGAAGATAGATGAAAATTGCCAAACTTGTTTCATTGTCTTCGGAGTTCAAAACTACAAACCGAGAAGGGGATATTCTTACCCAAGACTTTAAAAACTATAGCGTTGTTCAGAATTTTGGAATTGGCCATTTCCAATTCAGAATTTAGTTTCACCGCCACCCCATCAGATGATAAGTTGATTGAATTCAGATCAAAGTTGATCTTGATGTGATGAGGTTTCTACCAAGCATTGAGAAAGGAATCTTTCTGGTTGCTAGGATCCTCAAAATTCAAATTCACAGGAGTTTTATTCAATGGAACAGTGTTGATAGTAATCTCAGGGTTTGAGTGATTATCAAACGTAGAAGACGTAACATTTTGATCCAGGGTTCCAAAAGAAAACCTGTTTGTAATAGGAGAATGCGTTAAAACATGACGATCAGTTAAGGTGTCCGATAAAGTGGAATCTATCAAACACTTACCCTTTCCAATAACCTCAGAGGGAAGTTTATGTTGGGCAATCAAGCCAACACCATCTCTGATAATTAATGGCTTACAACAATGATTAGATTCAGAAGAAATCAGGGTAGATGGAGGAGACGTTTTGTGATTAGAGGATGGACGGGAGATTGGCGAATCCTAGTGATCTGAAGGTGGTTGGCTGGCCAACGCCGCCATGATGGCGGATTACCCGTGAAAAATCAAGATTCGAAAAAACCTTTCTCTCTCTAGAAAAAATTTAGAGTTTCTCTCTCTCAATTAGATGGTTTACTAGGATCATTACTCATACCACTTATTAGAATCTTGAATAAATAATAATGCTGAGTACAATGCACCGTTCACTAGTTTAGAGTTAACAATCTTAAATGAGATGAAATAAATTAAAATATTTAGAAATTCATTACTTATCATCAACAAGGTTGTTGGGATCTATAAATTATTAAAGGAAACTCTTATTTAATATTATTAATATAATATGAAGCTCATCAACCAAATTCTTAATGTGAATTCATATCATATTATATGGGAAAGAAATTCTATAGTGGATGCCCTAGTAAAGCTGGCTTAGGAATTAGCTAACACAGAGAAAGATTCTATTCTAATGGAGGCACAAGGTCACCAGGTCTTATCACCCATATAACTGGACTACATAAATAAGAAGACTTTAATTGAGGTAAAAATTGTTTTAGCTATAAATAATGAAGTGGTTGATTAGAGAAAACCCTTATTTAACTACTTGTGGGAAATAAGCTTCTTCATGATAGATCTACTGCAAAATAATTAAAAATATGATCCTTGTGATATACTTTAGTTAGTTGAAATTTGTATCAAAGATCCTTTATTTTTTTTATTTTTTTTTGAAGAATGCAATTTGCATTAAAAAGAAACCTAAAACAAGATACAAGCTAAATATAGTGCTCACACTCCTTCAACAAAGAACAAAGTGAGGGAGGAATGTTAGTAAAAGAAGAACTATCAAAGTAAAAATTGTTATCTCTAGCCAAAGTAGCATGTAAGTCGGCTACATTATTACAATTCCTATGCACATGTTGAAGAATTACCTTATTGAAGTCCGTTAGGAAGAGAAAATCCTCCTCCATCCCATTATAATTTTACCATTTAGCCTTGTTCAACGAATGTTGAATGAATTTGATAACATTGATGTATCACCTTCAATTATGATTCCTTTACTCTCAAGCATCCACGGTTGTATAAGTTTTCTGAGTGTCATAACAGTATCAAGATCAAGGCTAGCTATATCCCAATGTGTTCTTTTTTCACCAAAAGCAAGCAATAACCTCCCTTTATAGTCTCTAAAGTAGCATCCAATTCTAGCGCTATAAGAAGTAAGAAGATAAGCATCCACATTAACCTTGATCCAATCAATCGGTGGAGGGTGCCAAAAAGTTTGAAACTCCCTAGGGAGATTAGCACCCCAGTTTTGAATGAGAGGATTAGCGGTTGTAACAGCTGAAAAGAGTACCTCAACTGCTGTAATAGCTATGGGAACAACAGTTTTCCCATGTTTAATAGCATTCCTGTTTTTCCAATTATAATAAACTGCATTGCAATTGATCCCAGCTAAATTTGGATTAATTGTAGAAAGGATTTTTAGCTCAACCAAACACTCCTCCATGGAATTAAAAACAGGAATGTAAATTCCCCAGCTTTGAATCTGTCTTAATATATTATGTAGTTCAATGCAACAAACTGAGACATGTTCTAGATTCTCAATCTCAAGACAACCTCTAATACACCGGTCTTCAGTTGTGAGTTTTCTGAATTTCAAAAACTCATTAGTAGGTATAGCTGCTTTGCTCATTCTCCACTAAAAAAGCTATACTTGGGCAAATAATTTCAGCTTCTTCAGCCAATTATAAAAGCCATTATCTTCTCCACAATTGATGTGTTTATTGTAGTTTTTAGAGGCACGTGCTGTAATAGTTTTCCCTCATAGAAAACAAATCTCCTCCCTGTAATCTGCCATAGCTTTTGTGTCAATTGGGACTCGTAATATAACACTGATTATTTCCTCAGTAAAATACCATTGCAGTTTCTCCCTATCCCAGTGTCCATTCTCGGTGATAAAGTGGCACAGCTTAATGCCTTCCAGATTTCCACAATCCGTAGTAATAGGCCAATAATTTAAACATTTGTCTAATAACCAAACATCCGTTAACACATCAATTTTCATCCCATTAACCACTCTCCACCTCAAAAGAGGCTTTAAGTATTCAGCTCCTTCATTCAAGATCTTCCAAGCAATTGACTTGCCCACTACACAACTCCCTTGCCACCAACTGTCACCATATTTAGCATTCATAACCTGATGTAGTAATGAATTCTGATTTTGAATCAACCTCCAAGTCAGTCTAGCATTGAGAGGACCATATCTACTAACCGCCGAGCGAAAGTTCAAACCACCTTGAGTATTTGGCTTGCATAAGGTCTTCCAAGAAATGAAGTGCATACCCTTCTTCCCATCTCTTTTATGCCAAATGAAATTCCTACAACATTTATCAATTTCATAAAGAATCTTCTTAGGAACCAAAGAATGGGTGGAAATAAAGTTTGGTAAAGTAATAAGAGATGACTTAGCAAGAGTCATCCTTCCCGTTAGAGACAAGCACTTGCTACCCTAAGAATTCAGTTTCATTAAAACCGAATCCAACAGAAATTTAAAATCAGCTTTCAAAGGTCTTCTCAACATAAGTTTGATCCCAAAGGTACTAAAATTCATCCACCAATTTAAACTTCAAAATCTTCAGAACATGAATTCTGTCCACTTTATTCATCCCTTTGCTGAACAGAATTTGAGACTTGGAAACATTAATTCGTAGTCCAGTCCAAGAGAAGAAATCCCTCACTATTTTGTTTATCTTGACAGCAAGTTTCTTGGTAGCTTTAGAGAATAAGAAGACGTCATCAGCAAACAACAAGTGGCTGATCTTGTTCGCTCTGCAGTACACCTGAATTCCCAAATCTTGACCCCTTTGTGCAATAGTCAAGGAAAGGAGCTGAGAACAAATGACATACAAGAATGGTGATAGAGGGCAACCTTGCCTAAAGCCATTCTCAACAATAATCCACTTGGAATTTTTACCATTCAAAATGAAAGCAAATATAGCATTTCTAATACATTCCATAATAAGCATAGTCAACTTCATAGGAAAGCCAAACATATTTAAAGCTTGAAATAAAGTATTCCAACACATGCTATCATAAGCTTGCTCCATATCAAGTTTCACCGCCATAAACCCTTTTTTCCTCTTAGAAATTTTCATCTTGTGGAACACCTCATGATCAAGAAGAACATGATCGGACATTGATCTACCATGAAGGAAAGCAGCTTGTTCTTCAGTGATACAATTGCCAATAAAATTCTTCATTCTATTAACAGTCATGGAGGCCACTAATTTGTAAGTAGTTTGACACAAACTTATAGGCCTAAAGTTGGACGGAATAATAGGATTTTTTACTTTAGGGATGAGAACAAGAAGAGTATCCTTCCACTCATTATGCATGATACCAGTTTTAAAAAATTCATCAATGGCTTTCCAAGTATCATCTCCCACAATCTTCCAATAAAACTTGAAAAAGGAATTAGTAATACAATCAAGTCCAGGGGATTTATTATTACCTTATTTGAAGACCACATTGCTCAACTCTTCTTTTGTGAATTCCTCATTAAGCAGCTTGGCATTTTCCTTTGATATTCTCAGATTTTCTGGAAAATAAGGCCACCCCGTCAGGTTGCAACCTCTAGCTGTCCACTTGTCCTGAAAAAAATCGTAAAAAACATTTTCAATTTGCTCCACATCATCAACAATAATCCCTTGTTTATCTTTGATTTGCCAAATCCTGTTTCCATTCCTTTTAGCCGAAGCATATTGATGAAAAAATCTAGAATTTATATCTCCATCATGCATCCATCGGATCTTAGCCCTTTGATTCCACCAAGTAGCAAGTCTTTTTAAAGTCACATTAAGATCATGGACTTTACTCCTCATGGTTTTCAATTTATCAGCCGTTAACCCACCATTTATGGTTTCTTCAATCTGAAGTTGCAAGATGCCCTTCTTCAATTCTTCTTTATAAGAATTAAGTTCTTTGCATTTGTTCTTATTCCAATAGTAAAGAGCTTTTAAAGATCTTCTCGGCTTCCTTTGGAGGATTTCAGCATTAGTACCAAAATCCATCTTCTTTCAAGCTTTTGAAATGATGTTCCAAGTGCCCGGATAGGATTTCCAAGTATATTCAAACCTTAAAACAACAAAATTCTGCTTTTGCGGTTCTACCAAACTGATGGCAATAGGTGCATGATCCGAAGCAACACTAGGCAAGTGACGTACCTTAGCCATTGGGATGCTTTGAAGAGCTGTAGAATTTAACAAACACCTATCAAGTCTCTCCCAAATTCTGGAAGTTCCCTCTTTATTATTGCACCATGTATAACTTGGACCCACAAATCCAATATCATGAAAATCATTGTTCATTAAGAACATCTTCATATCTTTAGTACCATTAGAAAGATGGAATCTCTTTCCCCCTCTCTTATCCTCCTTAGAGAGGATGCAATTGAAATCACCTCCAATGATCCCTGGATCATCCCCAATCATACAATCTTCAAGCTGTTTGCAAAGGGACTTACGAGTATAAGCATCATTACTTCCATAGACCGTAGCAATGTTCCATTTACCCATATTGTTGACACTAAGAATTCCCATAACCAGTTGTGAGGAGTGATTCAAGACTTCAAAGGAAGTCGTATCCTTCTTCCACATCACTATAATTCCACCCGAGATTCCAATAGCTGGATGATGAAAATAATCCCAATCATTACCCATAATCTGATTAATGTCATTACCATCAAGCGATGACATTTTTGTTTCAGTTAAATCAATGAAAAAACTTTTATTGTCCTTCACAATCTCTCTAAGATATAGGAAGGTCTCCTTCTTTTTTGCCCCCCTACAATTCCAAAAAATAAGTGAGGGCATTAAGACATAATAGGGGAATAATCCCCCATTATTTTACTATTTATTTTAATCCCTCTCCTCTTTTTTATATCAGCTTCCATAGGTCCCAATGATCTCAATTCCTTGGTTAGTTTCACTTTACCAGAATTTGAAATTGAAGTTATTTGATTTTCAAGATCTTGATCAGCAACTGGGACTTCAACTTCCAGGTGAACATCACTTCCATATTGATTCAGAGGTTCTTCCTTCTCCAGCAGCTTATCTTTTCTTTCTCATTTAATTCCCCTTCTTCCAGATCTCCTTCCAAAGCTTGGAACTTATTCACCCAAATTGGTATATCCTGTATCCGAATTCCTTCAGAATTCATATTTTCTCCCGGAGTTAAAGACTTGTCCTGCTTTCCTTCTATTTCTGTAGTTTTAACATGCTGTTCCACAATTTGATTTTGCTTATTTGATTCAACAGGTTTAAAAATCTGTTTATTGAAACTACTAGCTCCACCACCTCTCTTAGTATTTCTGACTCTTCTGTATTTAAATTTAACATGGATCCAAGGTCCATAATCTTCACCCTGTTGCTTTAAACCATCTTCATTTACAGCATCTGTCCGTTTCAAAACTTCCACCTGTTCTTGTACCATTTTTTCCTTGACCTGAACAACAACTGCATCAGGACAGACATCTTTACTATGTCCAACTTTACCACAGTGATAACAGAGAGAGTTAAGTTTTTCATATTCAACTCATTGAAAAGTTCTACCATGAATCCCTTCAATCCAAACTCCCCTAGGAAGTTTCTTTTCTAGATCAATTCTAACACAGCAAAAGGCGTACTCTCTTTTGCCCCATTTAAACGAGTTCCCATCAAGCATCATAGGAGTTCCAATCATGGAAGTGATCATGGGAATATTTTCTTCATCCCAGCAACTTAGAGGTAATCTAGGGAACCTAATCTAGACTGGAGAAGAGATACCCTTAAGCGAATCAGTAGAGAAAGAAGATGACCATCTATCCATACCAATATATGATTCCCTATATACCAGGGACCTCCGCTTAAAACTTCTTCCATTGATTCCATGGTGGTAAACGAACACAACATCCAATTACATCCCAATGTGGTAATATGAAAGCTACCAAGCTTACCCCATTATCTTCTGAGTTCCTGACTACAAACAGAGAACGGTATATTCGATCCCAGCACCTTGACAACCAGAGACTTCTTTAAAACCTTAGAATTGGCAACTTCCTTGTCATTATTGAGCTTTACTGCAATTCCATCATCTGAAAAATAGGTAGAACGACTATCAAAATTCAACTTGATATGCTGCATTTTTTTCCATGCCGAGTTAAATTTGTTAACTGGTATAGATTCAACATCCCTCTTCATAACTTCTTCCAAATTTTCTCTATCTTGATCAATCACCTCCGTAAGATTCTTACAGACCTGATCTTGTTTCTATTGTTCATTCAACTCCATACATTGCTTAACTTCCAGAACAACATCAGACGACACAGCCTGCTCTGTAACAACAGGAGTGATCGGAATTATCTTCCCTCCATTATTCTGATCAATGAGAATTCCTTTACCCTTCCCTTCAACAATTGGTTCAAATCTCTTCGGAGGCCTAAAGCCTTCTCTGATCACCAAATTGGATGAAACCTTGAACGGTTCTTGATCAATTGAAACATTACGATTCTTTACGGATCATTGATCATCAGCTCTAAGAGGAACATTGCGATTGATATCAGTCGGAGGATTACCGCCGGCAAACCGCTACCGGCGGTCCGGAACCACCATCCTCACCAAGACGACTCGATCACAATCAACCGCAAAATTCAAAAAATCAAAAACCACGAACAATTTCTCTCTCTAAAAACTCACAGTTTCTCTCTGAACAACATATATAGTTGCAAAGATCCTTTAATTAAATGTGGTTATATTATCTAAAAAAATTATGAGCTCAGGGTATTAACAAATAAATATATACCAAGTTATGTGGAGTTCACCAGTCTAGTTCTAAAATGAAACCAAAGATAAAATGGATAGGATACTATAGAGTATTAGAGATAGATCACTATGTGAATGTTGCACATTATTATCACCAGTGTCTAGTTCATCGTGTAGTTTTTCTTCTACCACCAAATGTTATGTATCCAATCATTGCCTTTGTGGACATTTTAAAGCTGTGGTATGAAAATCATCTCTATTCGATAGATTCACCATCCTCCAGATATGATAAGATTATACTAGTAGCACTAATTTACTTCTTGAAATGTGAAAATATATTTCCATCAAGAGAGGTTAAAGCTTATCATAATTTAAAATTTTTTGAAGACTATATCATATATCAATTTGGTTTCCCTCATAAAATCATATCTAATATTGTTCCATCATTTCGAAACATTAAAAAAAAAAATTATTAGACATTATAAATAGATTAAAGATACTCATTGATCTATTAACCTCAAGAAATGGGTTGGTTGAGGCCTTCAATAAAATTTAGTGTTGATTTATAAGAAAATTCTAGATAATAAAAAAATGACAATGGAATGAAATGTTGGGAGAAGCTTTGTGGTCATATCAAACCATATATAGAATTCCAACCCATTTTATGCCATTTGATTTACTATTTTGAGCACCTTTAGAGGTGAAGATACGTTCTCTCATGGTTGTATTAAATTACAAAAAAAAAAAAAAAAACTAAAGAGTAAAATACCAGAATCATATTGGAAAAGCTTAAAGATTTAGAATATAAGCCATTACAGTTCCAATAGAACCTTGAGTTATATAAAGTAAAGAAGATTCAAGCATTTGATAAAATGGTTCAGCTAAGAACCTACCAAGTAGGAGCCTTGGTCCTAGTTCTATGAAGACCCCTTTTATCACATCAAAAGATTGGTTGGAAATTTGAATTCACTTGAGAAGGTCCATTCTTGGTGAAGAAAGTCTATTAAGGAGGATCCTATTAGTTGGCAAATTGTAGAAGAAATCTTTCAATGTTACCTGTAAATCTATTATAGTATCTTAAGAGATACTATATTGGATATTATTATAAAAGAAAAGTTTAAATAAATAAAAGAATATCTAACATTTATAAAGTGTTTGAATATGTTAATGTTTTCATAATGAAGTAGGTTTGGATGATAATACTAGGTCTGAAGAATTATACTAAAATTTGTAGATTTTAAAATCTCCAACACTTTCTTAAAATGTTTTCTTAAGTATTGGTATAAGTTTCCCCATTAACATCATTTTCTTTTGAACTTTGGTTAATTATGTCATATAACACCTGGTATTACCCCAATTTAATAATTTAAATATATATTTTTGGGAGGAACATCCCATTTTGATTTTCATAATTCTATCCATTTAAGAATAACCTTTCATTCGAACACCATAAATTTGCATGTCTTGGAACAACCTCCCATTTTGGTATAAATCTATTTACTCACTATTTCAATGTAGTCACGTGAGTATTACTTTATCCTCTTTCATTATTTTAATATGGTCAGGTGAATGCTAGACTTTTTTTAATCTTTCGTCTTACCATTTTGATATGGTCAGGAATTCCTTAGATATTTCTAAATCATTTTTTTGTTATTTTGATATGTATAGGTGTATTTTAATCTTCCTTTGATTCATTATCAAGAATTCAGTTTAGTCAGGTGAGTCTCAGATCATCTTATATCACTATTTTAATGTGATATTAAATCTTTCTTTTATTCATTCTCACTTTTTAGTATGGTCAAGTGAGAATTTTGTCATTACTCTTCACTATTTCAATTTGGTAAAATGAAGGTTCAACTATTAAAACATTTCCATTTGAACATCCACCAAAAATTTACTTGTTAGGGACATGTCTCCAATTCAAGCAATTTTGTAGCTTAATTATATATGGTTCAGATGACTTGTATATTGAATATTGCCAGACTAAATCCACATACTTAAGATAATTCCCTTTAAAGTATTTATCAATTAAATCTTTTTGGATTATGTTTATTACTGTGGTCAACACCAAAATATGTGATTTACTTTTAAGTTGGTCACAAATATTTGGGTTCAATTTGTTGACCTCATTTTTGCATGAGGTCATTTCTTTAAAACACCACTTTATTCATTGTGATTCAAGTTATTAAAACTCCAACTAGTTATTAATATTAAATCATTAAATTTTAGTTATTATATCATTATTGCCTAAGCATTCAATCATTATTAAAATATTTAATGATGATTAATCATTCAATGGTTACCAATAAATCAAACTAAATTATTCCAGCCAATCAATTTCAAACATTATGATTAGTCATAGTGTTCACTCTTTTTAATCTTAAATCATGATTCAATCATGCTCAATTTATCCTTCTAATCATTCCAAAACATTCAACTAAATTCAATCCTTTAATACAATCAAACTCTTTATTCACATTTAAACATAAAATTCAAACTTCAAAATCTAGCTCAACTTCAAACCCTAAAGAATATTTGATTTTCCATTTTCTAGGAGAATTTTAATTGGATCAGAACCTTAGGTGAATCCCTTAGATTTATATTTGATCATTGACAAATTGATTAAGCCTCCATGCACTCCAAAGTCCTAAAATTCAAAGCATTCCCATAGGTTCAAAACCATTAAATATTTATCATTCATGTCACTGAACATGACATATTAGTTGAAACACCTTGGAAACCTTTGAAACTCACACAAACATATTCATAATAATTATTATAATGATTTGAATATATTTGGGTTATAGGATAATTATGGTTAACCTAGGTTGATTAAGTTTGAACCAAATGGACACTTAAACCCTAAAACTCTAATCTAATCCCATGGTTTAAGTCCTATGAACTTTATAGTTTGGGACCCAAATGAAGCCAATTTGATCAAGATTCATCATTTTTAC